TAGGGGTGCCCCCCCCCCCCCAAAAAAAATGTAGTGCCCAGGATATACAGAATATAATGCTCGTTTTGTCTAGGGGGATCTATTACTTACTGTGAACTATGGTCTCATGACATGTTTGTACACATATGTCCCTGCTATATACTTTATGACATGGTTTTACAAGTTCTATATTGGGTAGGAACTAATTTGTCACTCACACAGTGGAGCAAAATGTTTCTCCATCTTTGTGTGACACACATCAGCAAACACATCTCTACCACGGGGTCACTGATAAACAAAGCCGACCATGACGATGGAGGAGGGGGCAGTTTTTTATGATACTGTGACACAGTGTGTGTTAAAGGGGATAGTTAAACCATTATGACATTACACTTTTTTTAATATAGCAATCACTCTGACTTGAGGCCCAGCCTAGATACATCTAAATCTGGACTCATAAGCTGAGAATGAGCACAACCTGTACTGATCCCAGCTGTCATTTGGCTGGCTGCAGTGCCCACATAACACATACTCTGACTTCCAATCAGACCTGTGTGCCCACATAACACACACTCTGACTTCTAATCAGACCTGTCTAGCTTTAACTTTCAGTGTACATTGGGCTGATCTTTAGAGACCTGGCAAATCTAAGAGATACCATAGCCAGTGTAATGGGGAGATTTCTAATCTTTCCAACAATGACAGGTGACACTTTTGGCAAATCCTTAAAGTAAGCAATTAAACAGATTATGCAATGAAACACATGTACCTATTCAGTCCACTTTTTACTAAAGGAGTAGAGCATGTTTACTTCCAAGGTGAATTTTCACTTTGTAACTCATATTAGTAAATGAGTTCCACTTTACAAAGAATACCCAATCACATGCAAGGAAAAAAAGATGTATGCTTCTTCATGATTGGATGATTGAACACAGCACAACTTCACTTTTTTTACTAAGCTGGCCCCACATTGGTAGAGGCCACGTGACCTATTCCAAGGCATAGATCATGTGAATTATGTTACAGCAGATCTCCTTTAGAAGAAGTAGAACACAATAGAGATGCTTAATTATTACTACCACTCGTCCCTCCCCTTATTAACAGTTATTTCTTCAGGTTTGGGGTTCAGCAAAGAATGAAAGATTCACAGGGCATTAGTAGTATGAAAGGTTTAGCAGCAAATAGCAACCAAGTAGACCTGTGTTGCTACGTTACAATGACTTGCACAGGGATGTTTGCCCGTACTCCATCGGCCTGTATGAGTGAAAAATAATTTTACACAATATGAAATGCTTACAGGGAGACACTGGCGGTCAGGGTGACCCAGGACCTCCAGCATCTAGTGGAATGGAATTCTCAACCTTTCTTAAAGGAATCCCAGGAGAACTGGTATGTGATTGTCTTGTGTGTCAGGTATAAGTGTAAATTATTTACTTGGTGGAAGTATTACGCATAAGTGCAACAACATCAAAGGAGTCTTTCAAATGCAGTGTGATGCAAGACTAAATCGTTAAAGGATTAGTCCGTGCAAAACTGATATTTCAATTCTGTTTTACACTAGCAGGTTAAATTACCCAGTAACTTCTTTTATCCTTCCCTGACCGCCATGCATCAGGAGGAGTAAGACCCCAAGGGGCACAGGTGAAGGTTGGAGGGGGACTCAGGATGGGTAAGAGATATAGGAAGCCAGCCGGAATTCATCAGCTTTTTCCCCATAGAAAAATGTCAGTTTTCACTGACCTGACGTTGCGTTATCCATACCACTTTACAGCTGATGTAATGTAGTAATATTGTTGCCTGAGTTTGAAAATGTTCTGATGTTGCTAGCTGCTTATAAATTGATAATACCTGGCAACGATAAGATGTTCACCTTGTGATTGACTACATGAAAATGCTACTAAACACAACAAAACATTTATTTTATTTTGTGGCCGCTCACAACTAGCATTGTTTGTTAACATTTTCATCAATGTATACGTTACTTACAGTCAAATTCTCCTGAGAGGTTTGGACATTTTTTAGACCACTATCGTGTTCATTTTTGTATTCTGATAACTGTGTGTGGTTAATATAGATAATAATAGTATTCCATTACTTTTTATTCACATGCCTTTATATTTTTTTCACCTTTTACATTGAAACACAAGCAGTCCAATAAAACTGACAAAGTTTGCCAGAGGTGCTTACAACCATTTATTTCCATGTTTTAAACTTTAAACAAAAAAACAATGCTGCAACTTTCAGACACCAATGGCAGTGGTTTTTCCAAATAATTGTTTTTTCTGTCACCTTTGTTGGACAGCTTGAGCGATTTCTAAAAGGGAATAAATATATGGATTTTTTTCACTTGCATTAATGAATTACATACGGTTGTCAGAATACTTTTTTTTAAGTCTTAAAGCAGACCTTTCACCCAAGTGCAAATGCCACTTATTTACTGGCCCACTCTTTATTTGTATTCTCCATGTTACAGTTGTAGAAAAAAACACCTATGGAGGAAAATTAGAAAATTACTTACACAGCACAGCAGAAGGTGATGTCAGGATCCTTCTGGAGAGAACCTGGGAATATGGAATATCCCAAATTTGAGAGAAGACTTTCTATTCCAGTGCAGTGTTACATTCTCAAATTGGCTCATTATATGAAGTATTGGAGCCACACTGATTTGTGTTTCTTGGGCAATTCAGTAGCTGCTTTTGAAAGGATGTGTCACTGGTGGACAGCTACTGAATTGTTGGACATATAATTTACCCTCCCCCTCTTCAACAACTGTCTAGGTATCTAAGGCTATGATCTGGCTGTTAGTATAATTCTTATGTTGTTTTATTATATATCTATTATAAGCTTACCATAAAATTGACATGTTGCCAAATGGCCTTAGCAGATGCATTGCTTTATTTATTTTCCTATAATAACCACTCAATTAAATATGTCTACATAGGGAGACAGTGGTGATCCTGGATATCCTGGAACACCTGGAATGCCTGGGCCAGCTGTAAGTTGTTGTTGAAATTACTGGCTATTAACCGTTGATTGGTGTTACCGGCATTATGACTTATTCTTTGCTTCATTTTGTTGTACTGCTTATAAATCATTCTTTGATTTTGTTTTATAGGGGTTTAATGGAAAAGGAGAGAAAGGGGAGAAAGGTATTCCTGGTCTTCCGGGTGTAAGGGTGAGTACATTGCTCCAAACCAGAGTCATTAAAGTGACATTAAACCCTCAGACTTTTTAACATAAAACAATACTGTAATGTGTGCCTTACTGTAATCCATGGTTGTTTCCCTTCTCTTTGCTGTTCTTCATTTTAATTCTGTATCTGTTCTCATGCTGGGCAGAACTTCTGTTTTGCAGCAGACTGCCTTGTCTCAGGAATGGATATATGGTGTCTGTGTATAGGTTTGTATAGGTTTGTAACCTGAGCCAGCACTACAGGAAGAGGCCCTGAGCTGCAAAGGGAAGTTCTCCTCAAGCATGAGAAGACATGATGATTTAAAAGGAAGAGCCGCAAAGAGAAGGGAAACTACCATGGATTACAGTAAGGCACACATTACAGTATTGGTTTATGTTAAAAAATCTGAGGGTTTAATGTCACTTTAAGCTGATGATGTCAGGGAACCCCAGCATAGCTAAAAGCCACCATCTTACCAGCTTTGTATCTAGATTATATTCTATACAGAATTAGGCTACATGTTTCCTACTTTCACATCACTTTTACAGTCGTGTACCTGCTGCATATTTTCAGCATCCATAGAAATCAGTTATTATAGACTAATGTGGCCCTTTCAGGGAATGTTTAGTATTTTTTTGAATATTTTGTTTACTATTTATGATCAGTTCTACATTGTTGTCAATTATTTTTATTCAATTCAATGTGAAATAGTTCATATAATCATTTCATAGTAAGCCTATGCTCCTGCTTAAAGCTACTTACCAGGTTTGTCTTCATAGTGATTTACTGTTAATAGATTTGTTGTAAATAGACATGTATATCAGGTAATCAAATTAGACATGCACACAGCTGAATCAGTTTGAGAAGGGACAAACCCCTCTTCCTCTCTGCTAGCAGATGTGGACCTGTCTGGTTTTCCAATTAGTCCAAGGCACTCAGTAGCCTACTGTGTATATATAATGATATGAAAGAAAAGTTTATATACCCGTAATGTTTCAAACACATTCAACTAACACAGACCAACATACATAATAGTTTCTCTTTGCATAAGGATGTATATATCCGTTCTTGCCACAGTCTGCCATTGATTTGTACAGTTGGGCTATACACTGGCAGCTCTTGGGTGCACTCATCTGGAAGTTTTTTTATGGTACATGGACCTTCATAGGAATCCTTTAAGAATTGTATTGCTTTGGTATAAATTCACAAATGTTTTAAATAGTCATAATATAGTACATGTACTCTTCTTACCATTTGAATAGTAAAGTTGTGGATGTTTCTTCTAGGGCTTTCCGGGAACAGATGGATTTAATGGATTTCCTGGAGATAAGGTATTGTCAGGAAAATGATTATGGTTATACGCAATGATAATATATAAAACAAAAAAAATGAAGTTATTTCTTAATGAGTAGTGATCTGTATTTAGCATTCACCCAGTGTTACGTAAGATGGAGCTCCTACTTAATGAATCTATATATATATGTAAGATGGGACATGCCACTTTTTCAGATGTTTTCTATGCACTGATGCGCTGTCAGGGGCTATATCAATAGCTGTAATGCACCTTAATTGTATTTAGCTGATTTAAACTGAGGGTCCAATAGGACAGTTGTTACCAAGACAGGAAGGCAAACAATAATAAATAGCAATAGAAATATTGTCAGTAGTTTTAACCCTCCCCCACACAAAATTTTTTTTTAGTAATATCGGGATCTGTATTCATAGCAGAATCACAGCTTTTCTTCAGATCTTTACATGGCGTTTATTCAGAACTGTTGCTTTACCTCACTCATATGGCGAAAATGTGTATTTCATAGGGGAATACTGGACCTCCTGGGCTCATTGGGCTTGATGGTTTCAAAGGCGTTAAGGTAATACATTATATTATTGTGCTAAAATATGCTCACTTTTATATCTGTTTTCCCCATCACAGTGGACAGTCATTATTCTCATTATTTAATAAATGATCAGCTGAATAGATCAACACACAAGGTGGGTTGCTTCAATTTATAAAGAGGATACTTTAAGACTCCAATTACTTTGATTATATTGTTATAGTTAACCATCGCACTAAGCATCTCCAGAGTACAGCTTTCTGTAGAGTACCCATAGATCTCTGAATCCCTCTCTGAATGACAGAAAGCAACCTCCTTCTGTGTCCATTGGCTCTGGTCTTCCCCTTCCTGCATTTTACTGCCACCCCATCACTGTGATAGGCCACCTCACTAAATAAAACTGAAACACAGAAAGATGGAAAGGGTGGTTCAGAGCTAAATTCCTACCAGAAAGGTCCAGAAAACCAGAGTTTTATGGAAAATGTAGGCAGCTGGACAGCTGGATTGTTCCTCGGCCTAAACAAGTCATTCAATAAATACTGCAAAACAAATATGGCAACCGCACAAATCAAAGTAAGGTGCACATGGAAGGGCTTTCCACAATACAAAGCCAACAATTTCCCAGCACACTTAGCCTGCAAAAAAAGCTTACACTGTCTCACCTTTTATGTTAAAAACAGAGGTTTTAGTTGCACAACTTTTACAAAATATGTGGAAGCTGCACTGCTTTGTCAAGGTCCCTCTGTATACTGCGGTCCTAACTCTAATCTATGAGAGCCTCCATCTTGGAGTATATATAACAATAAAAAAATTGAGTACAGGTATCCCCCTTTAAAAGCACAGGGACACACTGGAGGCCCAGCACATCATGATGGCAGCTGAGGTCCCCAATTTATCCCCACAGCAAATCCAGCAAAACAAATATGGCAACCTCAAAAATCAGTTTGTAACTAGCTTTTAGAGTAAACTACACATGGAAGGGCCTCAATAAGTACCGTTTACTGTTTAATAAGTACATCTCCAATGATAACAAACATAAGCACAATGTTATGTCAAAATGTCATAACACCATGTGCAATTTGGTGAAAAGTAGACTTGAAAAAGGGAAAGAAATTACAATCCGTGAAAAAACAAAAGCAAGGAAAAATCAGTGCCCAAATCGCTGCCTCCTTGAGGATTGAGGATTGTATAGGCAAGTTCTCCTGCCATTTCTCCTCCTCTGACTTAGCAGCTCAATTCCTTTCCCCTTTTCACAGAAATCAATAATATGTTTTGGGGTAATAAATGCTTTAGTGTATTTCAAATAAACATAAACAGCTTAAAATACAAAATAGCCTGTATTACATTTAAAATAAATTACCAAAGAAGCTATAACACTGTAAATATGTTTAATGCAATCAGAACATTGTTACACCGTTGGTTATGTAAATTTCTTTCCCCATTTTTTAAGGGTGAACAGGGTGACATAGGTTTTCCTGGGGCACCCGTGTATATAAATAACGGTGGATCAGCATTTCCAGGTAAGACTTTTATATATTCGTATGGTTTTGAGGAAGAGAAGCTATAGAACATTTATTGTTCACAATATCATATTACTAAGTAGATGGATTTTAGGAATGCAATTGTAGTTCTTGGCATTGCAAAAATGAAAGATTTTGTACCAGGAACCCTTGATGTTACTGTACACAGAAATGTTTGTTTAGTTTACCCCTTCTAACTGTTCACACATATCTTATACCATAGTTATAGCTTGAGCTAAAATATTTCAACATACAGCATATTCCGACCCCCCCCCCTCCAGATTGTGTTTCACATTTTCTTTACTCAGAATGGGTAACAAGGTCCAAAAATATCCCAAAATAATGAACAAAAAAAGCTTAAGTCTGAATGTTAAAAAAATTACATTAAAAAAGGCAGAAAAAATAATTGCTCCGGGGAGAAGGGGAGGAAGAAGTTAATAAGGGCTGATTTACATAAATAATAGTACTTAGTTTTAAAAAAAGAGGGGCCTCACCAACTTAGTTTATCAATGCTGCTCTGTCATCGCATCAGGTTAAACCCAAAACCAAAGTCAAATAATGGGACTTTGTAATAAGAGCATACAACATAATTCGTTACACACATACAGTTTTATAAAAAAAAAATATATATATATATAGTGTATTGCATTTATCGTTAAAGAAGAACTCCAAAAAATTTAAAAATGTGCTGCTTGTTTTGGTCTAGGGGCTAAAATTAAAAATATATACTCACCTGCTTGGCTGTTAGACTGGTCCCCACAGCCTTTTTCTCCCCTGGGCTATGGCGGTCTAAGGACCCCTGGCGTCATCACGTGTAGTGCAGCTGCGGTAGATGTGAGGAATCTGAGGGACATTTCACCACCAGAGCAGAGGGAGGGAGACGTGAGTGCTGACTGCCTCAGGTCTGAGGATCAGGTGAGTATGTTTTCTTTATTTTAGCCCCCAGACCAAAACAAGCAGTGGGGCTACCCCTGCACTGCAAGGTTTAATTTTTACATTTCCTGGAGTTCTTCTGTAACGTATACATTCATAATAAATGTAGTCTGATCATATAGGATAAGAAATTCATCATGGTTCCAGAAACATCTTTTTTATCACATCATGTTACGTCATGATAACACAATGAGACTGTCACAGGTCGGCTCAGTAGAACGGGAAGTGAGCGAACACATACCGGTGTTCAAGGTGTCTCAGTATATCGCGGGCAGTAGTTCGCGGTGTACTGGGCGTCTCAGTATACCGCGAGCTGTAGCTCGCGGTATACTGAGCTTAGGGTGATGGGAGGACGCTAGTTTGTGTCCTCCCGTTACCCTAAGGAGAACTATGGGGAAAAGCCTTAACCCCATAGTTCTCCTTTAAAATACATGTATATGTATACCGATGAATGTAATAAATGATAATTTTTGTATTAAATTTTGTATTAAAATATACTGTATGTGTGTAACGTTATGTTGTATATCCCATTATTGGACTTTTGGTTTTGGGTTAAATAATAACCAGCTGTACCCGCCCCCTCCCCCGTCCATTCCGCCAGTCAGCGCTGGCGGATCGGGGAGGGGGGAATCCAGCCCCTCCCCTGTCACGGCAGAGAGCCGTGACAGGATCGAGAGGTGAGAGAACGCCGATATATGTTCGCTCACCTCCCGATCTACTGAGCCGACCTGTGACAGTCTCATTGTCACAGGTCGGCTAGAACTATGCGGTGAGTGAAAAGCACTCATGTCATAGTTCTCCTTTAAACAGATACATTGCAACAATATTCTTACAACGTATTTATAAACAAACCCTGCAATCAGTGTTTGTTTAGAAGTTTTCTTTATGCTGAAGCCCCTTTCAGTGCTCCTGCTACACAGACTGGGACCCGTAACAAAGTAAAAACAGTGAAGCGCCACCGACTGTCAATCCTTAATGGAAATTCCTTTTAGGCATACTGCAGGATGCTGCCCCAAAGAAGCCGGGAAAGCAGGGAATCTAGGAAATAAGCACAAGAGGGGCGCCTTTCCTGGTGCAGATCAATTTTATTTCAATAAGCATGAATAAAAAAACCGAATCATACTCACAAACATGAGTGTCACGAAGTCATGAGGTGAGGGCTGACAAGCAGTGAGATGTCCACTAGATGATACCAGTGTTGTAGTGACGTTAACGCGTTTCCGGGGCACGCCCCTTCATCAGAACAGAACAGATGTCGGGACTCATCTCACTGCTTGTCAGCCCTCACCTCATGACTTCGTGACACTCATGTTTGTGAGTATGATTCGTTTTTTTTATTCATGCTTATTGAAATAAAATTGATCTGCACCAGGAGAGGCTCCCCTCTTGTGCTTATTTCACAGACTGGGACCCAGTTGACCAAATGACAGCTGACTTCTACTCTAACATTTATAGACGAGTGCAGACAGCAGCTCTTGTATAAACTAAACATCCAATGCAGGCTTCTTTTATACAGAAGCTGCTTTTAGCTCTTCTGTACAAGCATGTATAAAGTGGCAGGTTTTTTTTTATAGAGGAACACTAACAGTGTTCCTGTAACAGACCAGTAGTCTGTTGTCATTATGACAGCTGAGCCCCAGCAATTTCAGGCACATATCTTCCAAGGTAGCACCTTTAGGCACGCTTCTAGCATGAGCTATGGGAATTCCAGCCCTGCTTTGAGCGCATAGGAGCCTCCCTATAAAATATTGATTTCAGTGGCCTTTAGTTTTGAAAAGAAAAATTGAACATTGGCCGATGAACAAGAGCATGTTAATGTGCACTATTGCTTATGCTATAAAGATCTCATCTATGTTCCCCTCTCTGTTTATCAGGTTTACCAGGAGATCCAGGTGTTCCTGGGTTTCAAGGTATGCCAGGAGATGATGGATTCACTGGTACTCCCGGCTTTCCTGGACCCCCGGGGTTTCCAGCATTTGGAAGAGGTAGGATGTGTATTTACTGTCTGACTGACTGGTAATTTTTGTGGTCTACATGCTTCTAGATGCTTCTGTGTTAGTAAACCTGAAGATATCCTTTTGCCCTGTAAAATATCAACTGAATATCCACCAAGAAAAGGTGTTTCATTGTGAGAATTGGAGGAACATTTGTCACCAAAATATTAAAAGGAACACACGTAGTTTTGTTAGATGCCTGGTTTCTCCCCTATGTACTGTGGTTCCACCTGCTAGTCAATACTTCACTACATGACACAGTCCTAGGAAACATCTAGTGCATTTTTTTCTTTGAATTCTTTAAATAGTGCCTCATATGGAAAGCCATTTACCAGCCTAAAGTACCAGTCATAAAAGAAATATCGGAGCTTCCATTGCTGGCCTTCCTGTGCAAAATGCTATTTGCCTGACTGTGTCTTTCTACAATACTGTTGAGTTACAGATCTGGAATATGCACACAGCAAATACAAATCAAAGAAGATTTCATATTTCTTATCTTTACACTTGTTCCAGGTCAGTCACTCAGAGAACATTGCAACCAAATCATAATTATGACAACCAGGCACTAAACTTTATTAAGCATAACCAGTTCTTTATCCATGTACATATTACTCCCCAATGCCCTGCATCCTTAAAGGGGACCTATGGGGTGAGTGAATTACACTCATCCCTATAGTTAGAACCGACGTATGACATTGAAACTGTCACACGTCGTCTCTATAGATCGGGAAGTGAGCGAACACATATCGTCGCTCGCTCACTTCTCGATTATCTCCCTGCAGAGAGCAGTGACTGTCAGTCACCGCTCCCCACAGGGACTGAGCTTTGGGTCATGGGAGGACACCTGTTTATGTCCTCCCGTGACCCTTAAGAGAACTATGGGGAAAAACACTTACCACATGGTTCTCTTTTAAACTACAAAAAATGTGACTGTTTTCTGCCCTGCCATATTGTCAACAGCAGGTGGCGATATAGCTGTGAATAATAAGCATAATGCTTGAACTGTTTATGTACCACAAGAAGTACAATTTCTGCAGCAGTTACATTTGATGCATATTTAATGTTGGTAAGGGCCTTTTGTATTTATCAATATTTACTGTGTGAGCGTGAGCATTATTTTGTGAACCACAATATTTATTGTTTGAATAGTTTAAAAGACGATTTCGTTTAGCAGTGTAAAAGCAGTAATGTGCAGTCACTCAAACAATCAAAAACTTTCTGCATCAATCTTTTACTTCCTAAATATTACTCAAATTGACATTATGTGTATATCTTTATTTTATTTTTATTTTTTCAGGTCGACCTGGTCCTTCCGGCTTTCCAGGTATTCAAGGATACAAAGGGGATATAGGAGATCCAGGTAGAGCAGCTTATGGTCCACAAGGAATCCAAGGAAACCTTGGACCACAAGGGCCACCTGGATTTCGAGGACCTCCAGGACCACCTGGACCAGGTAACATCACATCTTTGGTGATAGGCATGGGGCATTGACCATTGCCTTCATCCACTTTTAAAAGAAATAGATTTAAATCATCTATGGCACATGAAATATGTGAAAGGAAGTCTTCTCAGCTTTTTGAGTTTCACCTTATACAGAGAGGAGGCTCTCTAATTAGGCAAATTAGGCGGTCGCCTAAGGCCTCGCACTTACAAGTGCCTCGCGGCCGCCTAATTTGCCTAACACATTACAGGGGACCTTAGCGCTGCTGAGCACAGACAGCATTAGGAACCCTGTCATATCCAAGAGTGCATCGCAGTCGCCGAACATCTCATCTCATCATGAGATGTTCGGCGACTGTGATTAATGCTGCTGTCTGCGCTCAGCAGAAAGGAGAACCTGATGGAGAACTTTCTCCTTCAGGTCCCTCCTCTACTGACTGACAGCAGGCAGTGGGTGGGTGCAATAACCAGCCTATTATTGGCTATTGCAACTTGAAATATCCAATAGCAGGCTGGCTATTGCTCCCAGCAATAAAGTTAAAAAAAAAAGGTTAAAAAAATCAAGTTAAATAAACTAAAATGAAAAATACAAAAAAAATTTAAAAAGTTTAATAAAAAATATAGTTAAATAAACTAAAATGAAAAATCAAGTTAAATAAACAAAAAGTTAAAATGCAAAAACATTTTAAAAAGTTAAACTAAAATGAAAAAAATAAAAAGATATTAAAAAATAAAAATGCCAAAAAAGAAAATAAACTTAATCTAAAATAAAAAAAATGAAAAAAGTTTTAAAAAAATAAAAAGCACAG